TTAAATCATACCATTTTATTGAACCCGGTAATATTATAAATTATGTAAATCCACGGACTTAGATAACACGTATCTCGGTGACCCAGAAAATACGCCATGGGCCATCACAACAGTTATCCCTTGGAGGGCCTCATGGCAAAATCAAACTAACCAGTCACTTATCCCTTCCTTTCGCATAAACCACTGTATAATTATAGAAACACAAAGTAAACTCTCTCCAATACATGCCCATTAACATATTAAACTAAGTTTATCTGTGTTCAAACTCAGACAAAGATACTAGCGTGCTTAATAGTTTTAAATATTTATTCATAACATAAACAGCGCCAGCATTTCTGTCGATTCCATTTCAGCTTAACCGGCTATCCGGAAGAATACATGCACCGTACTAACTGCTACGGCAGTTATTTTCTCCTTTGAATACTGCCCACCTGCAATCATGATTCCGTAACGTACTCTTTGCGCCATCTTTTGACCATTTGGCAACTTTTCGTTTCGTAGCTGACACGGTACAACACTTTTCTTTCGCTTACTTCACACGGTCAGTCATTTTGTTTACAAAGAAATGGTGTGCAATACGCATGCGCTAGTAGAGGGAAATCCCTGAACAAAACGTTGGTCAGACAGGTAGAAATACCGATGATTTTCTAAGGTTTAATCATTTTTATGAATCTATTTCAGCCAAATCCGATCGCTATTTTCCATAAGGAGTCTCACTTGATATGTTTATGTAGTATTTGAAAAAAAGACAAAAAATAAAGTTACTTCACCGTGATGCCCCTTTAATTCTTCATTTCACAATCACAAAATGCACCTATTCTTTAATATCCATTCACCGATTGGCATTCTGCACATAAATGCTCATGTCACATCATTGGAGGATGCTAGTTAATGAAAATTACAACAATGCGTCACACTGAAAGAGGGTGAAAAAAAGAGGAGAGGGAGAAATGTTTTTAAGGCATCATTTAAGAGGTGATTGATTTTGGAAATCCCAAAGGCATCATCATCACATGACCTGATTTTCAATTAGCAGAATACAGAACACATATCTGAGGTATCATAGAAGATATTGATGCTCAACGTCTTACTGAAGCAATTCAATTTAAAGTGGTGAGCGTCTTTAATGTCAGACTGACATAATTCTAGTTTTTTATTAAACTACATGTAGATGTATGAACATGTTTTTCAAAAGTTTTGAAAAATACACATTTTTATTTCAGGACACGACAATCAGACTTCCATAGAAGAATTACAGGGCAGAAAGCATTCTGAGCTGAAAATGGTTGTGAATGGAACACTTCTGAAATTAAATTCTGGAGCTAGAAGTTCATACTACATATCTGGTACACATATTGACATTGAAATGGGTTGATACTTGCATTTTAGCAAGGAAACAACTTTACTTTTTCCTTGAACACATCAAGATCTAGATATAAGGATGGACTGTAACAATATGGACACTCATCAGTCTCCTGAAGGACATGCTGGGGAAGATCCCATCACTCATACAATGGATCAGTGTACTCGTTCAGACATAGATCAACAGGAGTTTACAAAGAGTTGCACTCAAGACATCAGTAAAACAATCACTAACCCTAAAAAGGAAAAGATACTGAGGCTGAGCCCAACGTCAGCAGAATGTCCCCCATTAAACACATCAAGCTCGGTGGGGGCATCTACCAGAGTAAGTAGTACACAACATTTCAGTGACAGTCATTTAGTTGGGAATATCATTCCAAATCACCACAGCCATCCTTTCGTAAAACTTGAACCTCTTGATTTAGAAAGTTTGGGGAAAGCATCATCAGATGGAAAGAGAACATCGAACGATCCTTCTTGGGACCAAGAACAATCTGCGACCTGTGAAAGAACTGAATTCGGATTGTTGGACATGGAACTAAGAGAATGCGACCAGAGGAAAGTCTTACTCAAAACGGACATGGAAGAAGAGAACCTTGATGATAATGGACAAAGTTGTGAAAATGAGGTAGAAAAAGACAAAGCTGAATCCAAGTGTGATGAATGTGCAACACTTACCAGTTTGGACAGAGAAAACAACACCAATTGTGGCAAATGCGGGCGAAGCTTTGCAAGCAAGACCAATAAACAGACACAAGAGCGATACAAATGTGACCAGTGTGGTAAAACGTTTTCTCAATTCCATGAAATGCAAAAACATTTGGATATTCATACACAACATCTACAAGGCTCTCAAATTGGCAAGTTCAGTTGTGAACTTTGTAATAAGGACTACAAGTCCCGTGATGGTCTAAGAGTTCATATGAAAGTCCATCAAAAGTCAAACAAATGTAGGATCTGTGGCCGCTGTTTTCCAGTGAGGTCTTATTTATGGAAACATATGCAAATTCACAATCGATCAGAATCAATTCGCAAATGTCAGCCTTGTAATAAGACATTCAAAACGGAATACTTACTCCAAAAGCATACAACTAATTTTCATGTGATGCACTCGTGTGACATCTGTGGACAAAATTTCCAGGGGAATGTGTCGCTGGTTTACCATAAACGCGCTCATGAGCATGAGAATAAGTCACATGACTTCTGTTGTGATACGTGTGGAGAAAAATACAAAACATTTGACAGCTTTCGACCACATCTTGAGATTCATAAAGACGAGGACAGGCCCTACAGATGTGACATTTGTGGGAGATCATTCATCGAACTTGAGCATTTGAGGAGGCATTTGAAAGAGCAAAACACTCATACAGATGGAGATATACAGGAAGAGTTCAAATTTTCTTGTGATGTATGTGGAAGAGGCTTTAAACAGAGTCACAACTTTGAAAAACACATGAATGTTCACACGAAGAACAAACAGTTTAGTTGCAGTATCTGCAGTAGAAGTTTCACTCATCAAAATTATTTGGATAAACATTTTGAAAGTCACAGCAATATTACTCCAGAACATCAGTGTGAGAAATGTGATGCAATGTTCCTTACAAAGAACAGTCTGAGTAATCACCAAAATTATGTACATACAATGAAACCATGTAATATTTGTGGTGAAACATTTCCAAAAGGTAAACTGAAACATCATAGAGCTACACACGAGGAAAAACAGAAATGTGACGTGTGTGGCAAATATTATTCTGGAGTTGAAGCCATCAGGAGGCATCAGCAATATCATGCAAGGAATACCTTGATTAAGAAGTTTGTTTGTGAGGTTTGTGGTAAGAAATTCGTGTCACAGGAAGGTCTACAAAAGCACTCCAGACTCCACGAAAAGTCAATTAAATGTAACATATGTGGTCGCTGTTATTTAACTAGGGGCTCCTTAAAGTATCATATGACAACTCACAAAAGATCAGAAACCTCTGGGAAATGTAAAGTCTGTGATAAGACATTCAAAACAGAATATTCACTCCAAAAGCATACAACTAAGTTTCATGTGATGCAATCGTGCAACATCTGTGGACAACATTTCCAAGGGAAAGTGTCGCTGGTTTACCATAAACGTGCTCATGAGCATGAGAATAAGTCACATGACTTCTGTTGTGATACGTGTGGAGAAAAATACAAAACATTTGACAGCTTTCGAACACATCTTGAGATTCATAAAGACGAGGACAGGCCCTACAGATGTGACATTTGTGGGAGATCATTCATCGAACTTGAGCATTTGAGGAGGCATTTGAAAGAGCGGAACACTCATACAGATGGAGATATACAGGAAGAATTAAAATTTTCTTGTGATGTATGTGGAAGTAGCTTTAAACAAAGTCACAACTTTGAAAAACACATGAATGTTCACACGAAGAACAAACAGTTAAGTTGCAGTATCTGCAGTAGAAGTTTCACTCACCAAAGTTCTTTAGATAAACATTTTGAAAGTCACAGCAATATTACTCCAGAACATCAGTGTGAGAAATGTGATGCAATGTTCCTTACAAAGAACAGTCTGAGTAAACACCTAAATTATGAACATACAATGAAACCATGTAATATTTGTGGTGAAACATTTCCAAAAGGTAAACTGAAACATCATAGAGCTACACACGAGGAAAAACAGAAATGTGACGTGTGTGGCAAATATTATTCTGGAGTTGAAGCCATCAGGAGGCATCAGCAATATCACGCAAGGAATACCTTGATTAAAAAGTTTGTTTGTGAGGTTTGTGGTAGGAAGTACGCGTCACAGGAAGGTCTACAAAAGCACTCCAGAATCCACGACAAGTCAATTAAATGTAACATATGTGGTCGCTGTTTTCCAGTGAGGAGCTCCTTAAAGTATCACATGAGAATTCATAATCGATCAGAATCTGTTGGGAAATGTGAGCTCTGTGATAAGACATTCAAAACGGAATATTCACTCCAAAAGCATACAACTAAGTTTCATGTGATGCAATTGTGTGACATCTGTGGACAAAATTTCCAGGGGAAGGTGTCGCTGGTTTACCATAAACGCGCTCATGAGCACGAAAATAAGTCACACGACTTCTGTTGTGATACGTGTGGAGAAAAATACAAAACATTTGACAGCTTTCGAACACATCTTGAGATTCATAAAGACGAGGACAGGCCCTACAGATGTGACATTTGTGGGAGATCATTCATCGAACTTGAGCATTTGAGGAGGCATTTGAAAGAGCGGAACACTCATACAGATGGAGATATACAGGAAGAATTAAAATTTTCTTGTGATGTATGTGGAAAAAGCTTTAAACAAAGTCACAACTTTGAAAAACACATGAATGTTCACACGAAGAACAAACAGTTAAGTTGCAGTATCTGCAGTAGAAGTTTCACTCACCAAAGTTCTTTAGATAAACATTTTGAAAGTCACAGCAATATTACTCCAGAACATCAGTGTGAGAAATGTGATGCAATGTTCCTTACAAAGAACAGTCTGAGTAATCACCAAAATTATGTACATACAATGAAACCATGTAATATTTGTGGTGAAACATTTCCAAAAGGTAAACTGAAACATCATAGAGCTACACACGAGGAAAAACAGAAATGTGACGTGTGTGGCAAATATTATTCTGGAGTTGAAGCCATCAGACGGCATATGCAACATCATGCAAGGAATGCCTTAATCAACAAGTTTGTTTGTGAGGTTTGTGGTAAGAAATACGCCTCAATGAAAGGTCTACAAAACCATTCCAGAATCCACGAAAAGTCAATTAAATGTAACATTTGTGGTCGCTGTTTTCCAGTTAGGAGCTCCTTAAAGTATCACATGAGAATTCACAATCGATCTGTGGGGAAATGTAAGCCTTGTAATAAGACATTCAAAACGGAATACTTACTCCAAAAGCATACGACTAATTTTCATGTGATGCACTCGTGTGACATCTGTGGACAAAATTTTCAAGGGAAAGTGTTGCTGGTTTACCATAAACGCGCTCATGAGCATGAGAATAAGTCACATGACTTCTGTTGTGATACGTGTGGAGAAAAATACAAAACATTTGACAGCTTTCATACACATCTTGAGATTCATAAGAACCAGGACAGTCCATACAGATGTGACATTTGTGGGAGAACATTCAGAGGATTTGTCTCTTTGAGGAGTCATATGAAAATGCAGAATGCTCATGCAGATAAAGATATACAGGAAGGATTAAAATTTTCTTGTGATGTGTGCGGAAAAAGCTTTAGAGAAAGCCAGATGCTTGAAAAACACGTGAAATTTCACGTTATGAAAAAAAGACAGTTTAGTTGCAGTATCTGCACTCGAAGTTTTGCTCGACAAAGTACTTTAGATAAACATTATAAAAAGCACAGCACAGAGACTAAAGGACATCAGTGTGAGAAATGTGATGCAGTATTACTTACAGATTTCAGTCTGAAAAAGCATTTAGATTTTGTACATACAATAGAAACATGTAATATTTGTGGTGAAGAGGTTTCAAAAGGTAAACTTAAATATCACAGGACTAAACACGAAGAAAAAAAGGAATGTGACGTGTGTGGCAAATATTATTTTGGAGTTGAAGGAATTAGAAGACATATGCAATATCATGCAAGACTTTTAAGCGGGATAAAGAAGTTCAGTTGCGAAGTTTGTGGTAAACAATACCACTTACAGCAGGGCCTTAGAGAACACATGAGGTTCCACCAGAAATCTATCAAATGCAACATTTGTGGGCGTTGTTTTGCACATAAAGGGTCTTTACAGAAGCACATGATAATTCACACCAGACCAGCATCGATTGGAAAATGTGAAACTTGTGGCAGGACCTTCCAAACAGAAGGTGTTCTTCAAAGACATATCAAGAGTTTCCATGTCACTAAATCGTGTGAGATTTGTGGTTTGAAGTTTAAAGAAAAACCACAGAAACATATTGATAGGCACCATACTTCACATGTGTGTGATATTTGTGGCATTAAAATTGATGGAAAGTTATTATTAGAGTGCCATAAGCTCACTCACATCTATGAAAAGGGTTCATTTGACTTTCAGTGTTACGAATGTGAAAAAAGTTACAAAACTTCTGACAAGCTACGTAAACACGTGGACATCCATACGAAAAACGAAGAAGGGTCTTGTCGTTTCGGATGCGAGATATGTGGGAAAAGGTTTGCTTCATTGTATAATTTATCGTCTCATGTAAATAACCACAGGAAAGAAATTGGCCATTATTGCAAAATTTGTGGCAAGAGCTTTAAAGAAGCTGATGAAGAGCACAAATGTCCGTCTGAAAAGATTGCAAAATATATATGTGAAGTGTGTGGGCGCTTTTTCCGGCATCAATTTGGTTTAAACAGGCACAAGGAAGTACATGGCAGTGTTAACTTCAAATGCGAACAATGCAATTGGATGTTTTTGACAGAAAAAAAACTTCAGACCCATATAGACAAAGTTCATAAGCTAGCACCTTGTGATATTTGTGGTCAAGAATTGACCTACCAGGAAATGCCTCTTCACAAAAGAAAAATGCACGCCCAAGACTACATTTGTGATATATGTGGACATAAATGTTCAGGTCTGTCAAAGCTGAAAACACATTTAGAAACCCATTCGACAAAAAAAGCAAAATCTTTTTGCTGTGATATTTGTTGTAAAACCCTCAATACTGCGACAGGACTACAAATTCACAAGGCTATTCATACTGGAGCTAAGAAAAATAAAAAGACATTGATCTGTGATATATGTGGAAAAGGTTTTGCAGAAAGAAAAACTTTGTTTAATCACACGCTCACACACAAACCTAGATCACTTCAGTGCAATAAATGTTGTAAAATGTTTGCGACTAGAAATTCACTACTCAACCATGTGAAATGCAGGAGAGAGTGTCAAACTTGTGGAAAGATATTTGTTGATACACGATTATTTAAACAACATGTTGAGCTTCATGATGGTGCTGAGGAGGTGGATGGAAAGGTATCCTTCAATCAAAGCCCTTGCTCTGAAAGATCCAGTCCGAGGACAGGTCGCAGTACTGGTCGTTCAGGCAAAATGCACAGGCAGAGAGGTCCTGGAAAAAAAATCACAGATTATCCTTACAAATGTAGAATGTGTAGAAGAAGTTTTCAGAGTAAGATCAACATGGAAAATCATACGACAAGGCACCATAACAAATTAAATGTAAAACAGTTCGAGTGCGAGATGTGTTTTAAAATATTTACATCAAAAATTGCATTGAAGGCTCATGATAGAGTTGTGCATGCTAAACAAAGTTTTGATGTCAGTGGGACAAAATACACAGCTACAGATCTGAAGAAACCTACAAGCACTCACAAAGAGCAAGAAAAGAGCCATGTTTCCAGTAGAGAAAGCGAGGAATCAATTGATAATGAAATTAGTATTGATGACAAGGAAGTCAAGAGGCCTGAAGGTAAGAAACTGACCCATATAGTATCTAGGACTTACACAACCAAATCATTTACTATATATTATTACCAAACATTTTAGCTAATAACATTAATATTTGAAGTTCAAAACCAGTGACAACTGTCTAGATTCATAAATACATACCTTGCAAAGGCTACAAAATGACATTTTTGGTAGGTTTAGTGGCATATTGGAGTGTCACAGCGTCAAGGAGTTGAAAACCGGAAGTTTACAAGCAAAACTGGTGACCCAAAACAGAAACCACCCAACACATTTTGCCCCTGTGCAAATCCGCACACAGGCATGCAAATATATCAAAAATATACATTTTTCAAAAATTAAATACCTGAACATTTCATTTATCTAAAAACATGTCATCAGTTCCTTATTAAAAACTCCCTCAGTGACCCAGTAATTAGCCGGAACTTAATTTATATATGAACTACAAATGTATGAAACACTTGCTGATTGGCTGATTTTGTTGTGCCATACAGGGTGTGAAAAACTTAACTCAGATGCGAATAAGGCATTCACATGTGTAATAAAACTAGAACTTTAGCCCACCGTTACCAGACATAGATAGTGAACTGTTCAAATTGACTCTCATAGGTGGCTGCCCGCTTTTTGTCCGTCCTTCATAGTCTATATAAAATGGAGAATATTCTAAGTAAATAAACTCTTTGAGAGCTGGAACTCTCCTTTGCAATTATAACTGATGCAGTAGTACCCTTTGCCTTAAGTTTTAATAAGATAATTATCACAATAATTATGAAAAAAACAATAATCGGTTTATCTAGGTCGGTGGTTTAATATTTACATTTAATTCTTTTCGGAGCTACAGGTTTCATGTTAAGAGTAATACTCTGTCCCTAACCCAAGTTTTTTAAAAATTAATCTGTGATATGTCCCTGATGCCCACATCTGTCTTTCACTATATGTTATTACAAGATTTGAGTTCAAATTTATCAAAGCTCTACGTTTGTTGTAATGTTTTCCCATAGGTGTGGTTACATTTTATAAATCTGATGATATTTATACTTGCTTTTTCGGGGGGAAAATACAGCTTAATCAAATTTTTAAGATACTGAGTGAACATGACTTTGCAAGAAAGAAATCATTTGGATTGGAGGATAATTTTTTCTCTGTTTCGTTGCAGGTCAAAGAGGACACATGCGTGAGTCGAAGGTTCCTTTCCTGACACCTAGGGTAATCAGTGAAGATTCAATGCTGCTGTCTAAAAGGGAGACAATGGATTTACCTCCAGAAAAACAAAAAGCAATCAACGATGATAAGAACTTCCTTAGCGTATGTCAACTTGACATCTCTTAATTCACCTTGGTAGATATACAAATATTGTTTGCTCTTATCAGGTATGAAGTGTAATAGTTATAATTATGGAAAATGGTTTACAGTGCTTCAATGTCATTTAAATATAACTTGTTTATTAACAAACAAAACAATACTGGCATAAAATCAGTTATTACATACACACAATGCATACTATATATTAGGTATTTCAGCTAATAATGGACATCAGTTATCTTACTTTTACCATGAGATGATGTTTTTCGTCATATATACACAGATTTCTTAACTGTAATAGGTTGTTAACATCAGTTATGTGTGAATCACCCTTTCCTTATTCTGAAAAACAGTTGATGATTATTTGCCAATTTTGAACCAATGTGAAATTGTTATGATTTCATCAATAATAATTTCATGTTAAGAATATCCGTGCTATTGTTAAATGCAGATGGACTAGGTTTGATTTAATGTCATTTGATAAAAATGTTCAGTGTTATATTAAGTACACTGATTCACCTTACAAACAGATAGCCAAGCAAACAAACAAATGACAAAACACTGTAGAACAGAACTAACACTGCCACAGTGGTACAGAGTCTGGCCCTGGTGCTCCTGGTAGGGTGCAGCTTACTAACTGTTTGATACATTTGGTAGGGTTCACTAGCTTACTAACTGTTTAATACATTTGGTAGGTTGAAGCTTACTAACTGTTTGATACATTTGGTAGGGTGCAATAGCTTACTAACTGTTTAATACATTTGGTAGGGTGAAGCTTACTAAGAGTTTGATACATTTGGTAGGGTGCACTAGCTTACTAACCGTTTAATACATTTGGTAGGGTCCAGCTTACTAACAGGTTGATACATTTGGTAGTGTGCAGCTTACTAACAGTTTGATACATTTAGTAGGGTGCAGCTTACTAACTGTTTGATACAGTTGGTAGGTTGCAGCTGACTAACAGTTTGATACATTGGGTAGGGTGCAGCTTACTAACAGTTTGATACACTTGGTAGGGTGCAGCTTACTAACAGTTTGATACACTTGGTAGGGTGCAGCTTACTAACAGTTTAATACATTTGGTAGGGTGCAGCTGACTAACTGTTTAATACATTTGGTAGGGGGCAGCTTACTAACAGTTTGATACATTTAGTAGGGTGCAGCTTACTAACTGTTTGATACATCTGGTAGGGTGCAGCTGACTAACAGGTTGATCCATTTGGTAGGGTGCAGCTAACTAACTGTTTGATACATTTGGTAGGGTGCTCTAGCTTACTAACTGTTTAATACATTAGGTAGGGTGCAGCTTACTAACTGTTTAATACATTAGGTAGGGTGCAGCTTACTAACTGTTTAATACATTTGGTAGGGTGCAGCTTACTAACGGTTTGATACATTTGGGAGGGTGCAGCTTACTAACAGTTTGATACACTTGGTAGGGTGCAGCTTACTAACAGTTTAATACATTTGGTAGGGTGCAGCTAACTAACAGTTTGATACATTTGGTAGGGTGAAGCTTACTCACAGTTTGATACATTTGGTAGGGTGCAGCTGACTAACAGTTTGATACATTGGGTAGGGTGCAGCTTACTAACAGTTTGATACACTTGGTAGGGTGCAGCTTACTAACAGTTTGATACATTAGGTAGGGTGCAGTTTACTAACTGTTTAATACATTTGGTAGGGTGCAGCTAACTAACAGTTTGATACATTTGGTAGGGAGCAGCTTACTAACAGTTTGATACATTTGGTAGGATGCACTAGCTTACTAACTTTTTAATACATTTGGTAGGGTGAAGCCTACTAACTGTTTGATACATTTGGTAGGGGGCAGCTTACTAACAGTTTGATACATTTGGTAGGGTGCAGCTTACTAACAGGTTGATACATTTGGTAGGGTGCACTAGCTTACTAACTTTTTAATACATTTGGTAGGGTGAAGCTTACTAACTGTTTGATACATTTGGTAGGGTGCACTAGCTTACTAACTGTTTAATACATTTGGTAGGGTGAAGCTTACTAACTGTTTGATACATTTGGTAGGGTGCAGCTGACTAACAGGTTGATACATTTGGTAGGGTGCACTAGCTTACTAACTTTTTAATACATTTGGTAGGGTGCAGCTTACTAACTGTTTAATACATTTGGTAGGGTGCAGCTTACTAACTGTTTAATACATTTGGTAGGGTGCAGCTTACTAACTGTTTAATACATTTGGTAGGGTGCAGCTTACTAACAGTTTGATACATTTGGTAGGGTGCAGCTTACTAACATTTTGGTACATGTACATTTGCTTCGATAATGCTCCAGACTAGCAATCAGTTGTGTCATGTTCATGATCAGTCCATAGTGTTGAGTAAGGAGAGGTAGGAACGTTGACGATGGTGAAGGTTGGTTATGATTGTGAAAATGAAGCCATTAAGTTCGTTATTGGTGTTGTCAGTGAGATAACTAGTTAGATTTTCATTCTGTTTGTCAGATATTAGAGCTTACAAAGAAAAGGCTGGTAACCTTAATTTTAGTGTCTAGAGGATGAATAAGATACAAATGTAAGAAAGTTAGCAGCATCACAAGCATAGGAGGTACATTAATCTAAGGTAGGATGCTGGGCTCGTGACCCAAGTGTCACGTCACAGCATTGTGTTGTATCTTTGAAAAAGATACTTTGCTCCGCTTGTTCCAGTCTACTCAGCTGTAAATAAGTACAGGATTCACTCAGGGTAGTGCTAGAACCGTTTTTAAACTACCTACAAACTTGGTTGTGATTATAAAGTGGTATATAAGAACTTCAGATTATTATTATTATGAAAAAACAGATCTGATAAAAGTGTTAACTAGGGCTTCAACAATACATTAACATGACAATATTATAGTATCACAATACTGTGGTCACGATACAATACACGGTGATAAATCTACATGCGAGTCCCGAGTCCACTACTCATAGAATTTTGAAGGGACTCACAGAATTTCTGGAAATAGTTTAAGTTAACATTGTGGGACTCATCATTTTTAGCAATACAGTTGAAAAGGACTCATTAAAATAAATTGTAGATGGATCACTGAATACATATGACGATACTGTAGTCACGATACTGTAGTCAAGATACATTATGTATCACAATACTGTAGTCATGATATAATACGTATAACGTTATACTGTAGTCACGATACATAATGTATCACAATACTGTAGTCACGATACTGTAGTCAAGATACATTACATATCACAATACTGTAGTCATGATACATTACATATCACGATTCAATATGTATCACGATACTGTGGCCACGATACATTACGTATCACAATACTGGGGTCAGGATACAATACGTATCAGGACGCTAGTCACGATACATTACATTTCACGATACAATATGTATCACGCCACTGTAGTCACGATACAAAACGTATCACGATACTGTAGTCAAGATACATTTCGTATCGAGATACTTTAGTCCCGATACAATACGTATCCCAATACTGTGGTCATGATACAAAAGGGATCACGATACTGTGGTCATGATACAATACGTATCTCAATACTGTAGTCATGATATAATACGTATAACGTTATACTGTAGTCACGATACAAAACGTAACACGATACTGTGGCCACGATACTGTAGTCGCGTTACATTTCGTATCGAGATACTTTAGTCCCGATACAATACGTATCCCAATACTGTGGTCATGATACAAAAAGGATCACGATACTGTGGTCAGTATACAATACGTATCAGGACACTAGTCACGATACATTACGTTTCACAATACAAAATGTATCACAATACTGTGGTCAGGTTACAATACGTATCACGATACTGTAGTCATGGTACAATACGTATCACAATACTGTGGTCAGGATACAATATGTATCACGACACTGTAGTCACGATACATTACGTATCACAATACTGTGGTCACGATACTGTAGTCACGATACAAAACGTATCACGATACTGTGGCCACGATACATTACGTATCACAATACTGTGGTCACGATACTGTAGTCACGATACTGTGGCCACGATACATTAGATATCACAATACTGTGGTCATGATACAATACGTATCACAATACATATAGTAACAGTAGAAGCGAAAAGAAAAGTAATGTTGCAAATTTTTAATTGAAATACTACAACAGGAAATAGACTTGGTCCAAATTGGGCATGACTTCAAAGTTTCACCTAATTCACTTCTCTCAACATGCATCCCGAGCTGAAGCTGTCACTCACTGTGATGGAACAGATATCAGTAGACTTTATTCAGAAACGACAAATCCTGAAAAAAATTAGGGTGTATCGTAACATATTTCCCAAAAGATATTGTGTATCGTACCGTGTTAGAAATATTGTCACACTTTTAATATATTGTTGCTGACCCTAGTGTTAACAGTTTAACCCTTTTTAGCTCGCCTATTCGAAGAATAGGGAGGCTAATGTAGTCACCCCGGCTTCGGCGTCCGAGGTTAAAGTTTTTGTGCAAGTTTTTCCAGACAGTGTTGAATCATCTCACTCAATACACTATATCGAGTGTAAGCAATGTGCTGGACCATATTTTCATATTTTATGGCTCAAAAACAGCTTTATTGGACTTAATTGATTAATGTTTTGGGGTAAGCTTGAGGTTAAAGTTTTTGGGCAAGTTTTGTTGGGTAGTGTTGGACCACCACCATCAATAGGCTGTTGTCTATTATAAGGTTGAAGTATTTGTTTTTAGTGTAAGCCATGTGTTGAACCATATTTTCATATTTTAGAGTCCAAAAATAGCTCTATTGGACTTTGTTAATTTCTTAACAATCACTTCACATAGATTTTTTCTAAACATTTAACAGTCCTTATAATATACTGGTGGTAAGTGAGGTGGCAAATAAAATGATAGGCACGTGCACTATATCAACGTTTTACTATACATGTGTTTCTATTGATGCAGTATTATAATAACATACATAGGCAAGCTATGCTGTTCTCCGACAGCTCTTGTTACTGATATTTATAACACAAGGTTGCAGCTTTGATGTTGTGACAATAACAGATTATATAGACCTTATCATCCATAGTGTGTTCTGTCTGATAGCAAGATGATTCTTATTGCTCTGTTTATTGTAGATGGTCATTCGAAAATCTGTTGATGACCTCGATGTCCATACGCTCAAGCGTGGACAATATTTGATGGTTGTCACAAAGGTAGGTAACCCAAAACTCCTGAACAAATCCTTCTTTAACAGTACAGTTTAGTAGCTGTTTGAATTTAAATTCATTACCCCTGGTTCATCTGCTCTCTATTTAGGAGGAGGTAAGTTTTTTTTAACTAAAGCTAATTCAGGGAAATAACATTTTGGGTATAATTTGACCATTTAGCTGGAAATGTTTCAAACTTGGTTGCAATATTTGTAATGAGATGTCAGTAAGATGGATGAGAGGATAAGATGCTGCCCCTCTCTCGGGGCTAGAGGGGCAGGGCCAAAACGGGTAAATGGATCAAATTTAAAGAAATCTTCTCCGCATTCAGATGTACAAGAATCAAGTTTGTTTCATGGATGAAAGGGCCCTTTACATGAGTATAGGTGCATAATCTGAGCTGTTAGTGTCACCCTTGGGGTATCTCCCTTGGGTAGATGGTAGATTTTACTTTAGTTAATATAGAGAAATAACGCTTTTAACTATAGTTCATTTTCTGCAAGAAATAATTCAAATTGGGTCGGAATAATTATGAAATTGAAATCAAATACATTATCAAATAGTATCAGAAAGATCCTGACCTACCCAGGGTTTGGCATTTATAAGAGAAAAACTGGCAACATTACAATACATGTATATAGATATTAAATGTCTCGTTCAATAGCAAACTAATTCATTTAAAGAGATTTTAACAATTGTTTTCCTTTAGTAACATGACAAGTCATGCAATTCTTTTTGATTTCAATTTCACACCTCAACAATAAAAACTATTTATACATGATAATATAACTCGTGATCAGTTGACCATTTAGGCCCTTGGGCCTCTGGTTTATAGTAGCTCTGCTACTTTCACAGAAAAAATTGAAATTCTGATATTTAGAATTACATTCTTTTGTTATAGATTAAAGAACTTGTTTTGAACAAGAATCTTGATGAAGGCAAGATTAAAAAAAGGGTGTCCAACTACATTTGCTACAAACACAAGGAAGAGAAGAAAACGAGACTGGGCTAAAGAGCTAAACAACTGTCTTACATTTGCTACAAACACAAGGAAGAGAAGAAAACGAAACTGGGCTAGAGAGCTAAACAACCGTCTTTGACAGAATTTGATATTCCGTATTTTCTAAAATACTTAGAGGTTGGCAATTTCATTTGCTTTCATATTTTAAACTTCTAAGGTGTTTGTTAAATTGACATTTTGGCCTTCTTTGTCTCATCAATGTTTCACAGACACGAACTAGGGGTTGGATAAAGGCCCTTTGCCAAAATGTCAATACCGGTAGTCACATCCTTGATGTTTTCTAAAGTGGTTACTTAGTCCCTGCCTATATTTAACATGTAGTGGAATGAGTCAGTCATGTTGTTATTCAAATTTGTACTTTTATATTTTTCCTATTAAGACCACAGGAAGTGTATGAGTTCATTTGAACTGACCACGTTAGTTATAAAGAGTGTTTAGCTTTTGAGGTCATCCGAAGCATGTATGGGTTTCTAAGGGATGTTATCTATTATCCTATGCATTTAGGTTGACAAATATAATTGTTTTCTCTTGGCAATTAAATGAATGGGCCATGTTTTACCAGATTGTACATAATCAGGTGAAGAACCAAGTCTCTTGGACCTTTTGTTATCAATATGATGCACATTGAAAGGCTAGAACAGATTATTTGTTTTACTTACCAGATGACAATTTTTTAGGTGATAAATACAATCTGTTGTTCAAAGGCAGTTATTGTGTTTTGATAAAATTATGATATTGTAATAGTTTCAAGTATAAGATTATAAAGTTTATGTGTTTGTCTATTGAATCATTTTAAATGTATGAGGTGCTTGGGAGTTTTAATATTTTATTTTATTTTTTAATAGTGTTTAGATTTTACCTCCTATTGACATAAATGTATGTGTATAGTATGCATGCATTTTGAAGGCCCTATGTGTTATATGTTCATTATTTTGTATGTTTCAATTTTATTTCTTGCCGTGTAACATTCCATGTGGAGAAATGGGTATGGCATTTGGTTGTAAGTATCTTATAAATATATATGTATCGGGGCACATCTGTATAATTGTCTGCAGCTTCAGGCCGCCTTTATTACATTTACTGATTGTTTTCTAGGGAATTTAACTTGACAGTATCTGTAACAAAAAAGGACCATGACCTACAACTGATACATTGTGGCTATAATGTAAATAAGTTTTTATTGACTTCTTATAAGTCAGATGTAGAATTCTATTGATCTGATGCAAGGGATGGGATGTCTGGAAGGATATCAATTTTATTTTGACCAATAAGAAGAATTAAACTACGGTAAACCTTCGGTCAGTTCGAACAAAATTAAATAAATATTGATGAACCTGTTCGGATTATACAAAATTATGCTTCAGAAAATAAGCGTGAGTTCTAACTATCGGCAAAAATTTCGGCAAAGTGCAAATCAAGTCACAAACATATACCCGACATATTTTCTTCGCCGGAGTATACCTCTATATATCCAATGTAAGGTGATACGTAACAACGACGGCCTGGCATAGAACAATGGCACATTTATAAATGGGTAAAATGATAGTATATTATTTAATTCAATGTTAATTGATCATTAAACTTTCTTCATTTCGTGATTATTATGATCGTTATTGCGAAGCAGAGGCCCTTGTGTTGGCCCCGAAACAGTATACGTTTCATTTGTGACACAAAAGTTGAGACTACCTAGCTTGTATCAGAGACCTAAATATTGAGTCTCTGCGTGGTTAGGTTTTATTTGAATCAGAAACTATTATATATATTATTGGTAATGAATGGTCCGTTTAATAAATTGAAAACATAGTCTACATAACCTGTTGTGTTTACAAAGCGTTACTGTACAGTAAATATAGGTCTATATGTTAGTAAAATTAGGTCAGAACATCAACATGTCTGCTTTAAATTATAAGTGATATAGTCCTAATACCTACCAAACTTATTTGACACCTTCAAAATTACCCATCGCTAATTGGGACACCTGTGGATATGTTTGGACTTTGACATGAATGCTAATCACGTCACGCACCATGGCTGGGCGGCCGATTCCTACCGCGACATCGGGTCCTGCCCTACCTGGTGTGAGGCACACGTTTACAGGTAATACCTTGATTGGCAATAATTAAGGGATGTCTGGTCGCAATAAAATAATCGTATTCACTGCAAAGCTGCCAATTTCCTTTGTATATGTAAGTGAAGCAGTGATTGAATGAGTGATTCTTTTGTACATCACTTAGGTTTGATCTTATTTGCACTTATTTTTCTTGTACCTAAGTGGTTATTTTTCATTTTTTATACATACTTATTTTTATATATTCTTACATTTGTATGCATATGTGCACATGTAATTTGTAATTTTTCGTCCATTTACTGATACAATTTATTCAAAGGATGTTACATAGTGATGGCCTAATCAAAACTTTCTGTTTGTAAATGATGTCGAATGGAGATAACTCAAACATTCATGTAAATCATAAAATGGAGACAATGTTTTACTTCGTAAAAATATTTGTATAATTTTCTTACACTTGACCATATTATGTAACCAAATTTAATCTACTATCAGCTTTCATACTGTATTTAAATGACTCAAGTATCATTTTCAAGGAAAGAGCATGTGATTCCCAGTTGTCTTAATGCCTTGGAGAATAATAAATTAAAACTTTCAAATCATGTTATCCCCACTTGTGTCCTTGTACTGAATACGAATATCATACATTTTGTATGTTTTACATGCATATTTGTTTTAATGCAAAGTAAAACAAAATGCATTTAATTTATATATGATCAAGAATACTAAACAGGAACCCATCTTTTACAATATGAATAAATGTTCTACAGTGAATATGCGTATATAAATATTTGTTGTGTTTTTTATGTGTCATACTTAAGATATCAATGTTGTTTTGTTATTGAAACATACATGTTTAAAAAATCGTCTTGAATTTGTACGGATGAAATTGTAAGTTGAATTCCATGAAACTCATTATGTAGATTTCACTGTAGCTCATTAAAGGTTAGCTACGATGTAAACTTAATTGTCTCATAAATCTAGCTAAAGATGTGCGTTCCTAAATTATGTCACCATTGATCACTTGTTGTGTGTATTAACTAGTCCAATGTGATAATTTTAGAACTAAAGTATCCATGGAACCAACCAGCACAATATGAAGTTTCTATACCTTTTAGTTCTTCAGAAGAAGTCATTTGAAGTGTTTGACACATTTGACCCCTGTGATCTTGAAAGCAGGTCAAGGTCATTTTCTTTCTCAAACTTTTTGTGGCTCTATCACAGGAAGCAACCAGCTAAATATTAAGATTCTATACCTTTTAGTTCTTCAAAAAAAGTGGTTTGAAGTGTCGAACAATTAAACAACTTCTTCTAAGGACCTGAAAGGTATAGAATCTTTATATTTGACTGGTAGCTTCCTTGGATAGATCCCTAGACAGTTTGAGAATGAAAATTACCTTGACCTACTTTCAAGGTCACAGCGGTCAATGATGTGAAACGCTTCAAACAACTTCTTCTTAAGACCTAAGAATTACAGAATCTTCATTTTTGGCTGCTTGCTTCCTGGGATAGAGCAAATTTTGAGAATGAAAATGACCTTGACCTAATTTCAATGCCTCAGCGGTCAAATGAGTCAAACACTTCGAACGACTTCTCCTGAAGAACTGAAAGGTATAGAATCTTCATATTTGGCTGGTAGCTTCCTGGGATAGAGCCCGACACAGTTTGAGAATGAAAATGACCTTGACCTTCTTTCAAGGCCTCAGGGGTCAAATATGTCAAACAATTAAACGACTACTTCTGAAAAATCTTTGAGCATAGTTTCATAATATTTAGCTGGTAGCTTCCTGGGATTGCGCCTGACAAAGATCTCCTTATAAGGTCACAGTGATAAAATATGTCAAACATAAGAACCAAAAAGGATAGAATCGTATAAAAATATATGGCTGGGAGTTTCAACAGTTGGAGCCGACAAAGTTTGCGAGTGAAATATTTGTAGTACATGATAATATTTAATGAGAATATTTTGCTATGGCTGATTAAATATTCAAGTGAGCGATACAGGCCCTCTGTGCTTCTTGTTTAAAAGCAAATGTCCGTACAACTCTTCGTCAGCTGTTACAGTTTGGTTTAAAGATAAGCTACTCACATTTTTTTCGTTGACATTATCAACACTTAGGTAAATACACAGGGGCATGGATCGCTTTACTTGTAATATTAAAAAAAGGGTCTCCTATATTTATTAGTAAAGGAGACCCTTTTTTAGGTCACCTGAGCTTTAGCTCAAGTGACCTATTGCTANACAAGTGAAGCGATCCATGCCCCTGTGGGTAAATATACGGTTTCCTGATTTCCATCGATAAATGCTTTAAATAATTTATATAGCGACATGTTGATGATTTTAATTGTTGAGTTTTACTATATGTAATATTGTATTTTGTTTGTACATATTTTGATCATAGTGATACACATGTACGGAGCATCGATAAATGGATCAAGGCTCTGTGATACACATGTACGGAACATCGAGAAATAGATCAAGGCTCTGTGATACACATGTTCGGAGCATCGATAAATGGATCAAGACTCTGTGATACACATGTACGGAACATCGATAAATGGACCAAGGCTCTTTGATCCACATGTTCGGAGCATCGATAAATGTGCCTCAGCGGTCAAATGAGTCAAACACTTCGCACGACTTCTCCGGAAGGACTGAAAGGTATAGAATCTTCATATTGTGCTGGTTGGTTCCATGGATACATGTGTATCACAGAGCATTGATCTATTTCTCGATGTTCCGTACATGAGTATCACAGAGCCTTGATACATTTATCGATGTTCCGTCCTTGTGTATCACAGAGCCTTGGTCCATTTATCCATGTTCCGCACATGTGTATCACAGAGTTAGATCCATTTATCGATGTTCCGCACATGTGTATCACAGAGTTAGATCCATTTATCGATGTTCCGGTTCCGTACATGTGTATTACAGAGCCTTGATCCATTGATCGATGCTCCGTACATGTGTATCACGGAGTTAGATCCATTTATCGATGTTCGTACATGTGTATCACAGTGCCTTGTTCCATTTATCGATGCTCCTTACATGTGTATCACAGACCCTTGATCCATTTATCGATGCTACGTACATGTGTATCACAGACCCTTGATCCATTTATCGATGCTACGTACATGTGTATCACAGAGCATCGATAAATGGAACAAGGCACTGTGATACACATGTTCGTAGCATCGATAAATGGATCACAGAGCCTTGATCTATTTCTCGATGTTCCGTACAAGTGTATCACAGAGCCTTTATCCATTTATCGATGCTACGTACATGTGTATCACAGTGCCTTGTTCCATTTATCGATGTTCTGTACATGTGTATCACAGACCCTTGATCCATTTATCGATGTTCCGCACATGTGTATCACAGAGTCTTGATCCATTTATCGATGCTACGTACATGTGTATCACAGTGCCTTGTTCCATTTATCGATGCTCCGTACGCGTGTATCACAGAGCCTTAATCCATTTATCGATGCTACGTACATGTGTATCACAGACCCTTGATCCATTTATCGATGTTCTGTACATGTGTATCACAGAACCTTGATCCATTTATCGATGTTCCGCACATGTGTATCACAGAGTCTTGATCCATTTATCGATGGTCCGTACATGTGTATCACGGAGTTAGATCCATTTATCGATGTTCTGTACATGTGTATCACAGAACCTTGATCCATTTATCGATGTTCGTACATGTGTATCACAGAACCTTGATCCATTTATCGATGCTACGTACATGTGTATCACAGAACCTTGATCCATTTATCGATGCTCTGAACATGTGTATCACAGAGCCTTTGATCCATTTATCGATGCTACGAACATGTGTATCACAGTGCCTTGTTCCATTTATCGATGTTCTGTACATGTGTATCACAGTGCCTTGTTCCATTTATCGATGCTCCTTACATGTGTATCACAGAACCTTGATCCATTTATCGATGTTCGTACATGTGTATCACAGAACCTTGATCCATTTATCGATGTTCCGGACATGTGTATCACAGAGCCTTTGATCCATTTATCGATGCTACGAACATGTGTATCACAGAGCATCGATAAATGGATAAAGGCTCTGTGATACACTTGTACGGAACATCGAGAAATGGACCAAGGCTCTTTGATCCACATGTTCGGAGCATCGTTAAATGGATCAAGGCTCGGTGATACACATGTACGGGACATCGTTAAATGGATCAAGGCTCTATGATACACATGTACGGAACATCGAGAAATGGACCAAGGCTCTTTGATCCACATGTTCGGAGCATCGATAAATGTGCCTCAGCGGTCAAATGAGTCAAACACTTCGCACGACTTCTCCGGAAGGACTGAAAGGTATAGAATCTTCATATTGTGCTGGTTGGTTCCATGGATACATGTGTATCACAGACCCTTGATCCATTTATCGATGTTCTGTACATGTGTATCACAGTGCCTTGATCCATTTATCATGTGTATCACAGAGCATCGATAAATGGAACAAGGCTCTGTGATACACCTATACGGAACATCGATAAACGGATCAAGGCTCTGTGATGCACCTGTACGGAACATCGATAAATAGATCAAGGCTCTCTGATACACATGTTCGGAGCATCGATAAATGGATCAAGGGTCTGTGATACACATGTAAGGAGCATCGATAAATGGATAAAGGCTCTGTGACACACATGTACGGAACATCAATAAATGAATCAAGGCTTTGTGATACACCTGTACGGAGCATCGATAAATGGATAAAGGCTCTGTGACACACATGTACGGAACATCGAGAAATAGATCAAGGCACTGTGATACACATGTACGGAACATCGATAAATGGACCAAGGCTCTGTAATACACATGTACGGAACATCGATAAATGGACCAAGGCTCCGTGATACACATGTACGGAGCATCGATAAATGGATCAAGGCTCTGTGATACACCTGTACGGAGCATCGATAATTGGATCAAGGCTCTGTGATACACATGTACGGAGCATCGATAATTGGATCAAGGCTCTGTGATACACATGTACGGAGCATCGATAAATGGATCAAGGCTCTGTGATTCACATGTACGGAGCATCGATAAATGGATCAAGGCTCTGTGATACACCTGTACGGAGCATCGATAATTGGATCAAGGCTCTGTGATACACATGTACGGAGCATCGATAAATGGATCAAGGCTCTGTGATACACACGTACGGAGCATCGATAAATGGATCAAGGCTCCGTGATACACCTGTACGGAGCATCGATAATTGGATCAAGGCTCTGTGATACACATGTACGGAGCATCGATAAATGGATCAAGGCTCTGTGATACACATGTACGGAGCATCGATAATAGGAATTTATAGGAATTGATCATTTTATCATTTTAAAAAAAAGTTAAATAAATGTGTGTAATTGTTTTCTTTCTTTGCATTAGAAAAAACGTAAAAACCACTTAAACTTCATATAAAGTTTTCTTTCTCAACATTTAATGTTGATACAAAAAAAGCTTGACTTGTTATAAACATTATCGTACTTGTCAGCTTCATTGTTTATAACATGTCAAGCGCATTCATAAAATCACAGAATGTTGTCAAAAGACACATCATCTAAAGCTCATTTATACATCAAGGTAACTTAGCCTTTGTTTTCTTATTTATAATTTGCTAAAATGTTATTACCAAGGGATGTTACTATGATTTTAGTGGTTTGGCATGGCAACATCTATCTTTATATTCAGAATTCCTCTTAACAGTTAGAAGGGTTAGGGTTAGGGT